CTTGTAGGGTAAATTTAAAATTGGTGCCTAAGATTAAAAAGCCTATCCTAACTAAGGACTTAATTTTACTGTTGTAAGTCCAATTCCCTAACTATTTTTTTTTTTTTTTTTTTGTTTTACATCGGTTTCGCCTACATAATTGCCTTTTATTACGTTTAGTTCTTAAGTTACTTTTGTACCACGGTGACCAAAATTCGGAAAAGTGGTTCGGTTCGGCAAACCGGGTTTCGGCAAACTGGAATTTTATGTCTTCGGTAACCTGGTTTCGTCAAGTGGCCATAAATTCGGCAAACCAACCAACAACAAGCAGCAGCCAACCAACTGGTCGGATACCTGTCAATCACGTCGGCGTTGAGATGTGTTTTTGGGCCCGGTGGCTGACCATACACATTCGGTTTGATGACCTTTATGCAACAGACGTCACACATGTGTTTTCGTTTCAAGTTTGCGGAAATGTTTTTTTTTTATGGTCGAAGGGTTTCTTTTCAAATTTTCGTTCGTGAACAACATTGGCCCCCATGTATAAAGCGTTGATTTTCTAGGTATGTACGTATGTATAATAATGAAAAGGAAATACTATACAAATACAATCACGTATAAATTAGTAGCCTACTTTTGTTGTTTCTGAGCACCTCGAACCAGATGACTCGGGACAGGTACTACTACTACTACTAGTACTAGTAGGCTAGGCCTAACCTAACCTTAGCCTAAGTACACTGCTATCTAACCAGGGGCCTAGGGCTAGGCCAGGCTGTCTTGCTTTAGCTAGCCTAGGCTAATCTGAATACAGGTCAACCCGTACCCATGAAATGCCAACCCGTACTCACAAACCGTACCCAAATTTTGGTTGACCCGTACACACAATTTTGTTCGACCCGTACACATCTTGGGTCAAGCCGTACACATCTTTGGTCAAGCTGTATACAGCATACACTAACCCGTATCCAAGTTCGATGAATGGTATTTTTACTAAATATAACATTTTGCAAACTTTTTTGTATATTATGTAGTAATCATATGAACGCCAAGCATACGGTTTAGAATACATTTATCTTCAAGAAATTCATGATTGTCTATGCCTAGAGAAGCCTGGACACGTTGGTCGGGATTAACAGCGTATGGAACGCCAACGTACACATTAGGAGGTTATTGGCACAGGCCGGTACCGTTTTTTTTTTTTTTTTTAGCGTTTTTTACACTTATGGGTTAAATCTAATTAGCATAAAGTTTGTTTAGATGTGTATAAGAGACAGAGTACTAGTAGGCTAGGCCTAACCTAACCTTAGCCTAAGTACACTGCTATCTAACCAGGGGCCTAGGGCTAGGCCAGGCTGTCTTGCTTTAGCTAGCCTAGGCTAATCTGAATACAGGTCAACCCGTACCCATGAAATGCCAACCCGTACTCACAAACCGTACCCAAATTTTGGTTGACCCGTACACACAATTTTGTTCGACCCGTACACATCTTGGGTCAAGCCGTACACATCTTTGGTCAAGCTGTATACAGCATACACTAACCCGTACCCAAGTTCGATGAATGGTATTTTTACTAAATATAACATTTTGCAAACTTTATTGTATATTATATAGTAATCATATGAACGCCAAGCATACGGGTTAGAATACATTTATCTTCAAGAAATTCATGATCGCCTATGCCTAGAGAAGCCTGGACACGTTGGTCGGGATTAACAGCGTATGGAACGCCAACGTACACATTAGGAGGTTATTGGCACAGGCCGGTACCGTTTTTTTTTTTTTTTTTTAGCGTGTTTTACACTTAGTATTGATTTTATTTATTTTAGTTTTTAACGATACTTTTTTTTCAGCATGATTATTATTTAGTATTTTTTTTTAACGATTGCTATTGTTTCAGAGAAATTTTAACTACAGTATGTACAATAAATTTGAATATAATTTTAGCATGTTTTTAAAATTTAGTAGTTATGAAGCTGTTTAATATTGAAAAATAATGTTCTTTTTCTTCTTGCTGTTCCCTGAAATGAAATGTCAAGTGTACACTACATAGTTATATTAATCAATTTCTGAATTATTCATAATAAAGGCCTCTGTGTTTTGTTACAGTATTAATGTAATTTATTGAATCAAATATACTTTTCTGAATTGTAAAATTATACAAATAAAGTTACTGTTACACACACGTGCGCCTGCACTGCATTGCATGCGTCTAGTTTTCCTTTTTATAGGCCTACGTTTATGTTTATCAAAACTATATTTATATTTCCACTAATTTGTGTATTTTGATATGATACCAGTAGCAGAGACGATAGACGATGTTAAAAATAAAAATGAAAAATGCGAGAAAACAGAAAAAAAAGGACACTAAATAATAGGCACAGAGGAAAAGAAAAAGAAAACGAAACAGAGAAAATTAAAACTGTGTATTAACTTGCCTTATTATCGGCGACGACAATATTACAGACTGCACGAGATAGTACAGATACAAATATCTTTTGGGTACGGGTGAACCAAAATGAGATCTTTACGGGTTAACCAAACGTGGGGACGGGTTGACTTAAATTTGTGTACGGGTTAACCAAAGTGGGTACGGGTTGGTATGGGTACGGATTTGTTTGGGTACAGATTGACCGACAATCTAGGACTGGTCACTGGAGTAATAAGGAAGAGCTGTACCACTATTATAGTCATAGGCCCTAGTCTAGGCCTTGGTGGCTAGCTATCTAGCACACAGGCAGGCTACACCCAAACTTTGATGTTTCCAGTAAGCTTCCAAAAATCTCCAAGTGCTTTTACACCACTTTATCTTCAGTTTTAATGTTATTTTTTACATATGATCGGTGTCGGGCTGTAACAAACAAGGGGTTTTTATAGTCAGTGTTGCTTGGCGGGCCGCACACATAGGCAGTGGCGGCGCTAGGATATATTTTCTGGGGGGGCGAAGTTGTCCGACAGAGGGGGCTTGAGCTCGTAGGCTCGAGCTGGAGCAAGGGGTTGAGAGGGAGTTCCCACCAAATGAGATTTTTTTAAAGAATATCAACCTCTGGATGGCCGAAAATGGCACTCTCAGACTGTGACAGACATGTGTTGGCTTGGTGTGGGCCTATTTTTATATGTTTTATGGTCTGACTGCCCGACGAGCTCTGTCCGACTGGGGGGCTTGACCTGTCCAGTGGGGGACTTAAGCCCCCCTACCCCCGCTGGCGCCGCCACTGCACATAGGGTTTTTCATTTGTTGGCATGCCTGCATGCTGAAACAAGTTCATTTTATTTTTTTAATGTAGCTGTTTCAGTTTTGCAAATTATATATCTTTCCCATATGAACAGGTTACAGGTTTTTGATGATGGGTTGTATGGTTTAGCTTGTTTGAGAATGTTTCATTAAATTTTTTAAGTCCACATTTGTTTATTTTTGCTTCCATACGTGTTTGCTTAATTCCGTGTTAAGTCTTTTTAGCTTTTTTCCTGAAGGAGGCTTTGTGGTTATTGTATCTTGTCTTAAATGCGTTTTCTGTAAGGCCTAAGTGCGTTTGGTCTGGTTTGCCATTGGTTGTAACCCTTGCCTGGAAATAGTGCCACTACTTCGTTCAGATGCAGTAATGGTAACGTGGACCTACAGGTATTAGTATTAAATAGGTCCATGATAAGAGTAAGAGACTATTTCATCTTGAATTTTATGCTGCTGTCAATGTTTCACTGCTTTTAACTGACTTTCGGCAAACTGGGTTCGGCAAACAGGGCTTCAGCCAATTAGGATTCATTGTTTTGAGTCGGCAAACTGGTACTCAGGATTCAGCAAAGTGGTCTCGGCAATCTGGCATTCGGCAAACTGGATTTCGACCATCTGGCCTAGAACCGAAAAATCAGCCCTTATTTTCCGAATGATGGATTTCTAGGCCAATTCTTTTGGATATATTCCCCATGCAGGCCTTAGGCCTACTTTACAGTCTGGCATGGATTTCACCTGATCCCAGTTTCTTTTGGCTGTTTTTGTAAAGTGCTCCTCAATTATTCAGCTCTATTGGCGACTCATATTGTTTTTAATTATTAAATCTTAGAGGCATCGTTGGAATCTTTTTAAGCAACGTCATTTTGGCGATCATCCTGTGTATTAACATTTTGCTCATTTTTTTGTGATCATGTTTATGAAAATCACTTCTGAAAGCTATTTTGTTACGTAAAATTAGAATTACAGTATTTAACTGTCATAAGAAAAAAATTTATTGGATTAGATAATATATGTTTCGTCAAAACGCCCGCTTCTTTAGAGAGGCCAACTGGAACTGACAACATCGAATAATGGTAAAGAATAAGCGGCGTTTGGAGATTCCCGGTGAACTCATGATAGGGCAAAGCAGAAAAAATAAATACATTTTCTCAGTCAATATTTGCTTAAAACAAACCATTTGGCTATTGATATTGTTCCCAGAACCTTACATAAATCTGAGGTGTTGATTGGTGGAGCTGGCTTCACACTAACCTTAAACTTTGCAGTCTTACAGTCTTAAGGCCTGTTTATCAACGATAACGATAAAAAATCTAAAAAGCGATTGTTTATAGAAAACAAAAGAAACAAATAAGAGTTTTTTGTTTTTTTTTAGAATGCACTATGGCATGTCAAAAGAATATAATGATAATTTTGTTTGCATTGTAATGTAGGTTAAACATTTTAAGTTTAAAGTTGTGATTTTTTAGCATTCAATTCTATTCAATTTATTGAGTCGATATATACCCCACCAAGGAGAAGAGAAATACAAAAAGCTAAATTCATTCCCACTAGATGGACTCAACCATTATATTATTCTGTAGGTGCTAAACTTGGGTTAAATCTAATTAGCATAAAGTTTGTTTTAAATTCATTTAGACGTGAGATTTTCATAATGTATGATTCATTTGATACAAAAATTAGATTTCTCTCAAAATACTTATTTTATCTATTATGATTAGGCCTATCTATGACTACTGTTTCGTATTCACCTCTAAGTATAGTGGTATGGTCAAAATGCTTCCACTGTGTGGTGCAGAGATTTTAACAAGAGATTGATTAAGTGACACTGTAACAACTAAATGCACTGAAATTAAATACTGTACCTGGTTGAAAAACCAAATAAATTGTAATGTGGAATTGTAAAAAGGCCTTTAGCCAAGATACATTGCAAATAACTGTACAGAGATAGCCCAACATAACTTGCCAGTGGGCCAGTCAGAAGTGGTAAGTTCATGATTTTGTACTATGTATAGGCCTAGCCTACAGTAGGTAAGTAGGCATGCGTCATGTGTTTTGGACATTATTATTAAAGCAATTTAATTTATAAATAGACCACTTTCTAGTACATTCTTGCTAGGCCTGGCCAGCTATTAATATGAAATTTATATTAGTTGTAAAACTTGACCAGTATGCATGTTGTTTTCTTGAACCACACCTTAAATTCAATATAAAAAATATAAAAGAAAATAAACAAAGAAAATAAACAAAGAAAACGGGAAATTCCAGAAGCACACATTACATAAATGGAATAACCCTTGTTACTAAAAATTGATGACACAAATGAGAGATTGCAATGACTACAACCTGAACAAGTTTGGAACAGGGCCAGAGCTTTAAATCACTGGAAGCATTATTCCACAGACTGATTATTGATTTCATTGTAGTTCTATAATTTAATTGTCAAACTTTTTAATGCTATTTGTGTTTAAAGTACAAACTGATAAAAGGGAAGCATATTTTTGATAGCTTTGTTCATTACACTAACAGCAGTGTTCAACTCGGGGCATCCAAGAGGGGAAACTGTAACAGGTCCAAGGGTTGGGGTGTGGGCCCCCAGTTATGAACTCGAAGCGCGAGAAAGATTATGCCGAAGGCACAAACTTTTTTTTGGGGGGGGGAGGGGGGAGCCCATTATTAGAAGACCCATGCCATTATTAAGGGCCCATGATAGTATTTATTATTTAAAAAAAAAAAATATTGAAAACAAATTGCTACCTGCAATTTGTATGGGCCCCTGGTAAAATCTTGCATGTAACGGACCATTTTTAATGACGATTAAACAATTTAAAAAAAATTTTCTGAATCAATTTTCTATGCCAGAGTTATTTTCCACCTGTGCAACCCTTGCAAAAAAGTTACACATTCTTCACCATGTTAAGGCTTCTACGGAATTTAATAGAATAAAATGAACTGTCCATTTGAAGCACAAACTTTTGCAGACACTGTAATGTGTTTAGAATTTAATCGTGCAGGAAATTTACCCATGATGTAACCATGTTGCATTTGTACACTGGTATTCAAGTTTGTGTATTGTAATTTTTTCAGCTTTTTTTTTCAGAACTCTCTGTATCCACAGATAGGATATGGATACTTGGGCAACTTCTGCAGCAACACAATCAACACCAGCACAATGGGACTATGTGCAGAATCAAGTGGACACATTTGTAGATCAACATAAAGATGGAAAACAACAAGAGCCTCAGAGATCTGGTAAAGAATAACAATTATGTGTGTATTTTAAGTTGGTGGCAGTAGAGTGTTTGTGGCTGTAAAGCACATTGAGGCTTCGCATTGTCACGCTATATAAGTATGAGGTATTATTATATTTAGCTGGTAAAACTCCTATTCGTTTACACAGCATTTTTGTAATGATTAGTGCGGGCACACTTTAACCCTAACCTTAAATACACAGTAGGAAAATTTGAATTAACCGGCAAAATATACTGTACACTTTGTTAAAGTTATTTGCATTCAATTTAAGATAAAAAAAAAAAAAAGCCAATTTAATATTTTGGTTGTTAACTACTTTGTATGTTTATTATTGTGTACTTTAAATTAAAAATTCCAATCACATAAATTATTATTATGCACACCAGACCTTAGTTTTTTATACCTGATGATGTCAACATCAAATTTATGTTTCTTGTGTGTTATTACCAGGGTTCATACTGTATAGGTTTTGGAAAATCATAGAGACTGATCTTTTATTTATTTATTTAATACTATATTTCAAGAGGGTAACCCATCTAGCATTGCTGATCATTAGCGGCCCTCAAATAATACATGAAATAGAAACGAGAATCACTTAATTACAGACAAATTTATAAAATTCAGATATTAAAGATAATTTGTTAAAATTTGAACAAACAGTAATTTAAAAAGTTACAAAAACAATTACAAGAAAATTACAAAATATATTGTTTAAGTTTTTGTTTAAAAATGACAAACGTAAACAAATAAAATTTGGGATAGAATTATAGAAATTTGGACCCTTATAACTAAAACAGTTTTTAAATATTTCACAATATGGTTTAGGAATAAAATCATTGCTGTTTGTAATTGCACATATTGTGGGACAAATGCTTGACTGGATCCTGCTCATCATCTCAGTGTTTCCAGGACCTTGAAAATACAATTAGTTCTGGAAAAGTGCTTCCACTTTGCACTGGGGTCATGCCGCACACATGGAAAAGTTGCAAACATTTTTGTGAACCAAGGTGTATGAACTCTTTATTACTATTAGTACTAGCGATCTTTTTGATGGAGTTAGGCACTGCTAAAACCATCATGTTTGTTTAATATTATTAGGAATATCTAAGCACCATTGGATTAGTGTAGATGTGCGGTTGAATTGTGTGAATCAAAAGTGTCGGAAGAACTTTACAATCACTCAACGGAAGCATCACTGTAGGAAGTAAGTTCTTTTTCTGTTTTGATTGAAAATTTATTGAGTTATGGCGAGACATATTATGTTTAAGACCTTGCTTAGCGAACACATTTTTGTAGGCAGAGGAGACAATAAAAATAAAATGTTTTGATGAATGTGAACAATGTAGTATGTGAGATTGATAAAAGCTTTAAAGCATTGACTGCCAAGCCTTTTATTCTTTTTCCACCCCATATGCCGAGGCAAACCATAATGAAAATCAGGCCTGGAAAAAAATGTTTGTGCCTATGCCTGAAAAAAATATGTTTGTACTGTAAAATGCCTCAACACCAAATTTTATCTGGACAATATACAGCCCAACAGTATTTTGTTGAAATTTTTTTCCCCAAACATTCATCACCGGTCACACGGCCCTGATGAAAATCATTTGCATCAACTGTATTGAAACATGAACAAACATACGGTAGTTATTGTTAGAGTATTACTTCCGGGCTCTTCCCTGAACCTCTAGTACAAGACTTCGTGTTCTGGTCCAGGTTATCACTGCCAACGAGTTTAAAGAGTACTACAGTGTTACGTCACGTTACCATGTGATACTACTCCGTTGCTATCGGTGATACATAATGCGTTCAACCAACGCCATTTTCTACACTGACAAACCATTGATCCCTTTTTCTTTGTAAATGTTAATTGATGATTAAATGTGTGTTCGATAACTAATATAATGCAAGCTTTTTATGTTTTTAGTACATTTTGATGGTAAATTATTAGGTTTTAAAATGCCTATTCCAGAAAGCCTATTCTAAACCATTAAGATTATGAAGTCATTCAGGCATAATGAATGGTAACCAACGTCCATGGGGTGCTACCTGGTTTTGTGACGACACGATTGTGGTACTCTATGTGTAATACTATAGTACTGTAGTATGCATGGGTGTGGACTCGCGTCCTTGTGCCCTGAGTAAACATGAATTCATGTACATGGCATCGAACGTGTTAAATCTTTATAGTTATGGAATGAATATTTAATCCTATTTTTGGAGATTTCAGGGGAGCGGAGGATGTAATAAAAATAAATAAAAAAGGTTTTTCCCTAAAATTTGTGGTGGAGGGTGCACTCACTGGGCAAAAAGCTGTTGCTAAACAAGGTGTTAAAAAGTCTTGCCTATAGGACGGTGAAACAGGCTTCATGATATTTCATGTGCTCATATGAACAACCCTGGTCAAGGAAGTGAATTGATAGCTGGTTGGTTAAAGGTGGGAGTGGGGGGCTCCATTTAAAAAAATTTCTATTAAAATATATATAGAACAGTGAGTTTGCACCTTGCTGATAAGATTTTCACAGGTGTTTGGAGTGTGGTAGTGCACAATGAATGCTGCAAACTGGGTCTCTAATGCCTGGTGGCATTACTCAAATTACACAGTGTATTTACATATTTCTAAAATGGACTTCAGTAACTTTTGAAGGCTCGCCTTTGATAACCGCTGAAGAAAACGCATTCATTTTATCAATTATTACGTAAATTTATCTGATCTTTTCATTTTGAAAGGTTTTATTTTACAAAAATGCCTCATTTTTATATTAAATCAGAGTAGAACCACTTTTTGTTTGAGATTATGCAGTAATCTGGGGAGTCAGTCACATCGTTCAATTGGTCTGGGCAAACAACGGGGAAAATACAACGCAAAGGACATATTATACCTTGGCGTTGTCATTTCTTAATAGGACCGTAGAACATTGTTTCTGAATTATTATGGCATATACCGTACTTACTGTACGCGGCTATAAGCCCATTCTCAGGTATAAACCCACCTATATGGCCAACTAAGTAACAGCTTTTTCCTAGATATTTGCTGAACACGACTACACATCGTATGTCCGGTCTTTGCAGGCCATGCGTAACCACAGCATACGCTCGGTGGTTACGTCTCATTTTGTCTTATTTTTGCACTTGCTGCCAATTGACGAGTGCAAGAATTGTGTGTAGGACATTAGTCAACGAAAAATTTACTGCTTGCGATTATCATTTATGTATGAAAATGATAATTTTTTATTTTATTCATAGAAAAATGTTTTTATTCTTTTAACATTAGAAATTGTCTTTATGGCTTAATAATAAGAAAATTGAAGTTACAAGAATAATTTTAATACTGTAGCATGTTGATTCCATCCATGTTGATTCCCAATTAAAATCGTTAAATTGTTCACCTGAAATTTAGCAGTTTATGGAGGAAAGATTCCTCAATAAAACCATTATAAAACAGTCTGGCTCCATGTCTACCACAATGCGCAAACACATCTAGGTCAGTCAACCCAACTGTTATGTCAGCAAATCTTCGTGTATACGAACCTTTTTAGAAACTTACTAATCTGTTCACTAGTAGGCGGCATTCTTTGTGGGTTTAGACTGATGATAACATCACGATAACACTGAGTGTGAAATTTGATCGTGGAAGAAAGATTTCTTCTTATAATCGTCGTCTTGACAATACCAACAAGCAGAACTTCAGCTTTCAAAAAATGAAAAATCAGAAAAACAGCAAATTTAATTTTTTTAAATAATTACAAAAATAAATAAAATATTATTATGGAGAGAAAGAAATACTTCATGACAATAATTTTTATTCAATAATTTCAACTAGTTACTGTATACTTAGATTTAAATTTTTAACAACCCACCAGCCAGTTGGCAAAGACTTTTGTTACAACTCAAAACATTTTGATAAGTACTCCGTTTATCACATTGGTTCTACAGAAAAGGATATTTAAACCTATAGTACTTATTATTTTCTTTTGCTAAGATGTGGTGAGGTGTTCTGCAAAGCATGTGTGCGATACCAGAGGAGGCTATCGGCAAGAGCTGATTATGACCCAAATGGACGGTTGCATCAGGTAAAATATAAAAGGCTTGAAATGAGCCTGTTTTTAAAGAAAAACAGTATAGTTTTTTTAATTATGATTAATAGGTCACACCATAAGGATTTTTGGTATTGATTTTATCAGAATGATGCTAATAAATTTCTACCTTGATTTTTTTTTATTCTGTATGTTTTGATATCATAACAATTGTCAGTTTAATTAAAAAATATATTTTGGTTTTATTTTCTAGGTATGTGAAGATTGCTTCAACTCTGAACCCCAGGATGTGGGTCAGCGACGCTTATGGACTGATTGTTTTAAGAGATGTCGTCAAGACAACCAGCAACAAGAACTGGATGCTGGACAACTTCAAATTGGCATTCGAAAAAGGTAGCTGCATTGAAGTGCTATTGTGATTAATAACGTAGATTGATGGATGAATAGATTTATTCGTTGTAAGTACCAAGGATAACTCACGAACGTCTGATTTTCTCATTGGGGTCCTTCTGGTGGTGATAGGTCAGTATCATCAGGAGATCGGGAGACAATCCCCTACTCTTTTCTGAAGTGTGTACTGCATTCAGATGTGTATAAGAGACAGGTACTACAGTGTTACGTCACGTTACCATGTGATACTACTCCGTTGCTATCGGTGATACATAATGCGTTCAACCAACGCCATTTTCTACACTGACAAACCATTGATCCCTTTTTCTTTGTAAATGTTAATTGATGATTAAATGTGTGTTCGATAACTAATATAATGCAAGCTTTTTATGTTTTTAGTACATTTTGATGGTAAATTATTAGGTTTTAAAATGCCTATTCCAGAAAGCCTATTCTAAACCATTAAGATTATGAAGTCATTCAGGCATAATGAATGGTAACCAACGTCCATGGGGTGCTACCTGGTTTTGTGACGACACGATTGTGGTCCTCTATGTGTAATAATATGGTAGCTGCATTGAAGTGCTATTGTGATTAATAACGTAGATTGATGGATGAATAGATTTATTCGTTGTAAGCACCAAGGATAACTCACGAACGTCTGATTTTCTCATTGGGGTCCTTCTGGTGGTGATAGGTCAGTATCATCAGGAGATCGGGAGACAATCCCCTACTCTTTTCTGAAGTTTGTACTGCATTCTTTACCATGCACATGGGCCATAAGTGCACATGAGACTAACGGCTTAAGCGTCTCTTCCGAAAGATAGTGAGCTATCGTAACTGGCATTTCAGCCCTTTAGCTGCAATATCAGAGCAGCGATGGGAATTGAACCGGGGACCAAAAGATCACCAGTGTAGCCGACTGAGCTAAGCTGCTTTTGTCAAAAGTAGTCTTAAAAAACAGATGAAATGGTCTTTAATAACATAGATACAATGGTTATTGATAACATAGAAAAATAAAATGGTGAGTTTATTTTGGAGTTGAATATCTTGGTAGTAGATGCTTACTTTCCAATCCCAGCGTCATGGGTTTAATTCCTGTCAGTTTTGCAGGATTTGTTCTCACAACCAAGAACTCCACTTGTGAGATTTAGTTTCTCCTTGAGAGCAGTCGGTCCTTTATTCAATACCATTGTTACTCTTTTGTTTTAGTTGGAGAAACATCCTTTGGCATTTGGGCTATTGATCCTGTGTGAGTTAAAAACTGTACGCATGATTAAAGAATATTTCCTCACATTAAAAATCAGAATGTCTCCTGTTTTACGCCACGTTCAAGGTTTATGCAAATTTAATTTTTGAAAATGAATAACTTATTGTACTGTATGTTTGGTATTCTTGAAGTCATCAGATAAAACGTGAAATGAATCGATTGATTGATGGGTATACAGGGAGCCTGCAAAAGGAAGCTGTTGATGGTAAAAAAAAACTCTCAAACTTGAAAGATAAAGTGCAAGGATTGATCACTAAAAGTGAAGTACCTTTATGGCAGAAAGCCAAAAGCTGGACGGTAAGCTGATAATATTTACACAAATAGTGAATGACGTTTCTGTTAAAATATTGTAAGGTTGATAAATTAATGGAATGAAAATTAAGAAATGAAGGAAGGAGGTAGTGAGGGACAGATGGAGGGAATGACAGGAGTAGTGAAGTATAGGAAAGATGGGATGAGGTTGTATAAAGGAAAGTAGGGATAGAGACAGGGAGGGGATTAGATTAAAAAGCAGAAAGAAATACATATTTACATGCATTCATAAATTAAATATCTAAAGCCCCTCGGAAAAAGATGTGTACTGGATAGTGGAGTGATAGATATAATTGGGCTTTGGCTTGAACAAACAAACAAACATCTTTACAAGAAGTAGTTCAAAATTTTGTAATACTGTATCACAGCAAATTACCTGGATGTTTGGGTCGTTGGCCAAAATGTTTCAGAACCGCTGAGCTAAGCCATGGATTATTAAAATGTTAATATTATTTAATTTTCAATTTAATCAATTAGATCTTGTGTTGTTACAGATCAAGGAGCAAAAGCAGTCATGTATGACTTGTGAGGAAAGTTTCAACCGTCACCTTGCCAACCAGAAGCACAACTGCCGAGTCTGCGGTCTCCTCACCTGCAACCGTTGCTCATCTCGTGATCTGCTTTTGTTTGTTGCTGACAAACACGAGCGGGAAAAGTTTGGTGATGTGCCACATTGGGCAGTGATCAAGGTTACTGGAGTAAGCAAGAATTAAGTTTTGTTAGTATAGCAGTTGATACTTGATGGGGCTTTTCAAAGTCTGTTTATATTTATATTACGATTAATTATATCACAATATTTGATGGTGGAGGCATGTACAAAGAAATATTTGACCTAGAAGCCTTTTTTGTTAAAACATCTCTTCAACCCTTTAAAAGCGCTTTTGATTAGCTTATCTATACTTGAAATTGTGTACTTCTGCGCTTATACAAAAAGGCATTTATTAGGGAGCAAAACTTTTCACAAACCTTTAAAATGATACAATGTGTTGTTCATAGCTCTATCTAAATTCTTGAAACGTTAGTATTATTTAAAAAAATGTGTTACCTACTGTAATCGTGTCCCAATGATGTCTCAATAAATTTTGTTTCAAATGTATTTTTGTTGTATAAAAAATGAATTGAATTGAATTGAATTGACAAAAAACATCAGGGAACTTTTGATCTTGATTAAACACAGCAAACTTTATTCAAATATAAATATATTTATTTCCTTGGCATTTATTCAAGTGCATCGCTTAATAGCAAAGAATAGAATCATGTTGCTTTGGTAGTGTACGGTAAAAATGTGGTCCTTGAAAAAATGACCCCTTACAAAAGGCCCTGGAAAAAATGGCCCCAGTAAAAACAGCTTCAAATGACAGGTAGGTGAAAGTGACCCCAATAAAAAAATTTAGTAATAAAACTGATTTAACAAGTTACTTAAAGGCTGAAAGATGGCAAAAATTAAATCAACATAAATTATGCATTTTTAAAAAATAAAATAACTTAGCTTTTAAAAAGAATCTAATATCAAATTAGTTGCCATTTTTTCGGGGCCTTTTTTTTCAGGGGCCATTTTTTCTGGCCATTTTTACCTACATTTCTGCTTTGGCCCTTATTCAAGAGTGCTGCTTTATTGCAATTAGGCACTTGGGTATTAATATACACACATTGATTTGTAGAGAAATACTCAAGCCTACTCTACCTAATGGCACCCTGTAAGGTTATCTCAAGTATAAATAATAAGAATAAACATGATTTATATAATGAAAATATCCATTTCATAAATACAATATAAACTTCCTGTTACAGTGTCCAGCAGTTGAACCAGATGTTCATCATTATTTACGTGTTTGCAATTTCTGCAAGAAAATCTTAGAACACATTCAGGTGGAGGAAGCTCAGAAGGCGGAACAGCAGGAACTGCTGTTGGAGTCTATGACAAAGCTGTTGTTTGTTCATAAACACATAAGTGAAGTACAGTCCAAGATCGATGACCAGCTCCCAGTTGTAAGAACAGCATTTGTTTTCCATTAAAACCTTTCAATATTATTATTCTTATATTTCTTATTAGTACCAAGTTGAATTATAATGCTCTGATTGGCACCAACACTCGCATTAATACCACTAGCTCATTCAGCTGTGTTTGTGGAAACCATCCTTTTATTTTGACATAAAACATTTTACCGATTTATATATTGATACAGGTAATAATAGGGACTTGTTTGCAGATGATGTAAAAGTTAACTTAAAACTTTATTGACAATGGCTCATCATCATGATGCTTGCTCTTATAATTTATAATTTAAATAATTAATATTATTTTTATTTTATAAAATACTTTTTTACAGTACAAGCAGTTAGTAGATGGATTGGAAATTACGTCTTCTAGCCCACGTACTCTGCCAACCAACCGTAGCAACATGCAGACATTGGCAAAAGCACAGGTTTGGTTGCATTAAATGTGTTTACTTAAATGTAATATTTATTTTATCTTCAATTTGTATAGCACCTTTTTTTGGATATGGAGTGCTTTCTCTCCATGGTCATTGGATACAGAATCAACCATGCAAAATCTCCCAGCAGATTATTCGTAGTTATGCATGCACGAAAAATCATTTACCTCTCACCCGGTACCTATTTATACTCCTGAAAAAAAGAAAAACAAACAGACAAACTGCAGACCAACTACGAGAGTCGCGCATTTGGGTCTGTCTCGTGCTCTCATGCTGAAGGATGAAAATCTCATGCATAAATTAAATGCCTATATTATATGTATCCTATTCGTGATTATTGTAGCCCTCTTCTTACTACAATACTTAAAAAGTCATGGTAACATCATGTATACCAACTAGCTCCACTAACACTGAATGTATTGTTTTATAAAGCACTTTCGGATAAAATCAAATGACACCTACACTGCCAGCTTATGCCAGTGTGAAATGTTTGGATTGGAGATGACCTAAAATGCATGTATTCTCCTGGAAAAATGCAGATCCTGAATGCATTTGCAAGCATTTACAAAATTGATTTTTTTTGGGGGGTGGGGAGGGGATCGAGCCCCATACCCCTAGAGTGCAATATTTTCAAAAGTCCCATGTCTGGACATTTGTCTAATTTGGAATTTCTGAAACCAAAGGGTGCAAGCAATGGGATGAGCATTTGTCTTGAACCCACAATCTCTTGATTGAAAGCCCAACACCTTACTACGCCATGTAATTTTACAAATATAAACAAACTTAAGATTCCAAACAGTCTAATAAAAAAATATGCTATATTAAATTATTTACTTACCTATGACCAGAACATATCTTTTTTTAAAATTTGTAATCCAGTATAAAGTACAAGGAAATTTCATTTTAAATACTTTAAGATTTTTTTTCTTGTTTTCAGATAGGCAATACGTTATTTGTATTAGTCATAAAAGGTGCACTTGAGTATTGAGTGAAAAAGGAATGTAAAAATAATGAATACTTAAACTTTTATTAGATAAATTGTAGTAAATAGGACAATTTTAAAAACTGACTTATGAAAATTAAATCCTATATAATTAAGTTGTAAATTAAAAAGAAAGATATGATGATATGCATATCAATGGTAATGATAATGCTTAAATTGTTTAGATTTAGTTTTAGCTTTTTACAGTTGATCAGTTTATTGACTATTGTAGTAAAAAAGAAATAATGGTTTCTTGAATCAATAAATTTGAACTAAAGACACTATAAATATTTGTTGATTTGTGCTTAATAGCAAAAATGTATTTTATTGAAATATATTTTAAAAAGTAGTTTTCATAATTTGGACATAAGATAAACTTTCTTTTTTTTTCAGGGAGATCTGATGGACCACTTTACAAAGTTTGTGATGTGTGTAAGCGGTCTGAAAAAATTTAGTCCGTCAAGCAATGTGCAAGTTAAACTTGCACGCAACATTATGAAGGTGAATTTTTATTTTTTAAACATTTAAATCTAAAAATAAAACTTTCACAGATACTTGGTTTTGTTTAAAAGAAATTATATTTATTTTTCATCTACAAACCTGATGAACTTGTATTATTGTCAGAATTTTTGTGAGATTGCCCTAAATTTGTGAACAATGTAAAAAAGGTGGTCCAAGTAATTCAATGTCAACAGTATGTCTCAATTTTGAGGCAAATGCCTCACTTAGTTTTGATGTTTCCCGAAAATCCAAAATTCATAATTTTTTGTCATAGTAGATAGTCTTTTAGATACATTTACAAAAGTCATCATTGACAAAAGAGTGCTACTAGTGGCCAGCCATCAGAACCACATGTTGGCTCTATATAGTAGAATGCCTTCTCTATTTAGGCATTTAATTTAGAAATAATCATTAAAAATATTTCTTTTTTCTTTTTTTTTTCATTTTTCAGTGTAAATTTGATTATTACCATGACAATATGTATTCCTTCCGGAAGCTTAAAAAACAATTGGAAGATGTTGCACCGCCAAAAATACTATCAGGCATACAAGAAATTGTGGATGCTAAGGTGAATGCTAAATAACTACTTGTAAATTGTCGAGTCCATCATTCAGTTATGTACCTGTCTCTTATACACCTCTATATAGTAGAATGCCTTCTCTATTTAGGCATTTAATTTAGAAATAATCATTAAAAATATTTCTTTTTTCTTTTTTTTTTTCATTTTTCAGTGTAAATTTGATTATTACCATGACAATATGTATTCCTTCCGGAAGCTTAAAAAACAATTGGAAGATGTTGCACCGCCAAAAATACTATCAGGCATACAAGAAATTGTGGATGCTAAGGTGAATGCTAAATAACTACTTGTAAATTGTCGAGTCCATCATTCAGTTATGTACTGAATTTTCTAATTAATTACAGGGTTTATTAGATAGCTGATTCATTTTTAAAGCCATTCTCTGGAGGAAAAACAATTTTTGATTTGTTGTACAACTGATTTTTCTGAGACACAAAAAGCATATTTGACAAAAAAACTTGGGGAGTGGTTAATGAGGTAGACATTTTTGAATGTTTAAAACCTGGGGAAAAAAGGTGGAAAAAAGGTTGTTACGTCCTTTTTCCACCTGTTTTTAAATATTAAAAAATCTGTATCATTAACCGCTCCCATATTGACAATTTTTGTTTCCTCCAGAGCCTGGCTTTAAGGGCAGGTTCATGGTTTAGACAACTTGGGACATTTCATTATTTCATTAATCATAACTATTTTCTAAAGTGATGATTTTATATATACTTTTTATACATGTTCATATGCTTTGGTAGTTAGTTAATCTAGACACAAAAAAGTTTCATACTACATTGCAGCTCTCCAGAATGTTTATATTATTTTTAAGTAGCTTAAGGAATGTTGGTAGATACACCAGCATTAGAGCATGGTCATATAAAATTCTCACTTTATTTCCTGTCTCACTGTCATGGCAAATTTCATTTTCACTTCTGTGAAGTCTGTTTTCCACTGAGCTTTGATTGGTTGCCCGTTTTTTTGCATCACAAACAGTAGAATCTGTTCGAACTACTGATTTCGTTGAAAACTGATAGAAATGCGCATGAACCAACACTATCGATTCATGCGAATAAGTTTGTTGTTGAAAACAGACTTTAACATTTTAATTATTTTGGAAATTTTGTTGGTGGTGGACAATCAGTAATTTGTTTATTAGTCACAATAGACACACGATCATGTTGGGATTTAATATACAGGAATAGTCATCTTTAGAAATCAAGTAGTTTAACTATATAGCTCTTGGTTCCGTGTCATACATAACTTGCATTGTTGATATTACAATATTACATCCTGTGTCAAAATACTAAAATAATTAGGTCTGTCCAGATTATCAAATTTTTTCCGACGAAAAACCTGTTGTATGCCCATGTATAGTCATGATGTGCCTATATATGGTCATGATGTGCCTATATATGGTCATGATGTGCCTATATATGGTCATGATGTGCCTATATATGGTCATGATGTGCCTATATATGGTCATGATGTGCCTATATATGGTCATGTTGTGCCTATATATGGTCATGATGTGCCTATATATAGTCATGATGTGCCTATATATGGTCATGATGTGACCATATTTAGGCATGTCACATGTTTTTGTCAAATAAAATTTGATAGATTTGACAGGGCTTAATACTAAAATATTAAACATGGAAAAATTCTTGAAACCGTCTGTTTGATTATTAATTAACAACAACAAAAATAGAAAAAGCTGAGGAAAAACTTGTTTCCCAGTATGTACATACTAAAATAATAAACATGGACAAATTCTTGAAACCGTCTGTTTGATTATTAATTAACAAAAAAAAAATAGAAAAAGCTGAGGAAAGACTTGTTTCCCAGTATAGTACATACTAAAATAATAATTGAAACAAGATGAATTAATTTTATGTTACTCGCATTTTATTGTAGATCATATCTGTATGGTATATGAAAGTCTATGTTACGTACTGACATTTTTCATCGTGCTTTCTTCACATGTGTAGCTCATATACTATATTTATATTTAGCACTGCTTCTAATATCTTAAACTTGTCTTTTTATTATGTATTTTTGCTTATATTTCTCATGTCTGTTTTAATTTCTAAATACTGTTTTTATGTGGTAACAAATACTTTGTCTTAGCGAAGCTACCTAAAAATGCAGCTCTACATAAAAAGTTAATAATAATCAGGCCCGTAGCCAGATCATTTCAAGGGGGGGTTCTCTAGGCGTGGGGTCCAGAGGCCTGCCTAAGGGCAACGGTGGGGTCGGGGGCGAATCCCCTGAAGCCAGAGCAGTTTTTGTGTTTAATGGGTCTATATAATGTTATAAAATATTTCTCATGTCTGTTTTAATTTCTAAATACTGTTTTTATGTGGTAACAAATACTTTGTCTTAGCGAAGCTACCTAAAAATGCAGCTCTACATAAAAAGTTAATAATAATAGAGGACATACTGTATTATGTTTATACAGTAGATAACAATGTGAAACAATGATAAAACCAAGTTTGGAACATTGATGAATAATTACATACATAGGTATTTTCACATTTCATCAATTGTTAACAGGGTATAACACTAGTAAACATTCTTCAAGTACCTAGGTGGTATAACTACAGGCTTCTGGAGTGGATGCCTTTTGTAAAGGGTGCTAAGTAATTTGATTGAGCATTTTTATGGCTTATTTACTGTAATCTGTCATTACACTGTCTAGATAGGTGTATCAAACAGCTCATTATAATGTCATTCATTGTTTTTTTTTTTTTGTATAATACAAAATGGCATTTATTTATATAATACTAAAATTAATATGTTAACCTTAAATAATGTATGTATGTTTTCTTAAAATATCTTGTAACACAAAATAACTTTTTTATGTACTGTAATGTATGTTTCCTTGTTTTGTGTACTGCTGTATAATGTTGTTATGAAATAACACACTTTACTATCTAAATTTAAAATAGATTTATATTAAAAAAATGTAAATCATTTTTGTCATGTAGGCCTAGTATGTGAGTGGAATATACAGTATATCTTACCCAAATATGTGTTAAGTTTTGTTTGTTATTATTTGTGCCACTATCACCCAATTAATGTAATAATTGGTCATAATAACTGATTACATCTCACATCTGCACTGGCAAGTCATAACATTCATGACACATTTTACTGACGGGTTTCATTTTGGGTTTTTGGTTGCACTTTCAGACAATAGAGGTCGCCTGTTTATCCATAACACAGGTAGCGTATGAAACATTGCATTTATGTATAAAATACAGTATTGATGAGACGCTAGCAAGCAATATCATACAAACTTCTGAGGTGAGCATTAAAACAATGATGATAATTATTGTAATAACTTGAATAATCCTAAATGTTGATTAAGATGAAGATAATATATTGATAGCAGCAGTCAGTCCAATATATTTTGATTTTAATATTAAGTTTGATTTATTTAATTTCAATCTTTAAAATAGAAATACATTTCTCCCTCCCATGAAAGACCCTCCAATTTATTAAGGCCACTCCAATTAAAGACCACTATTCTGTGGTCCCAAATTAACAAATGTCTTTTATGTTTATTATTCTAATGAGAGACCAAAGCTGCTAAAGATCATGGAAACCCAGGTCCCAAAAGTGGTCTTTAATTGGAAGGAGACCTGTACAGTACATATGAATAAACAAAAATTAAATTAACTAAAACCAGTAAGAAAGTGTGAGGTACCCATGCTCAATGAATAGAGCAGGATTTTTTTTGTACTATAAAAGATTAGAAAATAAAATAGTGCATTGCATAGCAATATTTGGAAATGAGGGTCAGTGGGGTTTAACAATTTTTTTTACCATACAGTAGGCCTACTTAATTTTAGGGTTCATTACCTGCCATCGCTCACTTACCACAATACATTTTGGTTGGTAAATTTATAACCCCCAGGGCTAAATTCCATGGTTAGTATATTAGTTTTGAAATAGGTTTTGCTAAGATATTTGGGTTGATTGAGTCTTGGGCAGCACATTATTTATTAATTATCAAGTGTAACCAAATTGAAAATAGAGTATAGCTTAGTCCTATCCCCTACACTAAACTCTCCTATTAAAGTTTAATTTTAAACATGGCTACATTTAAAGGAAGAGTATATTAGATTTAAAATGTAAAATTGACATAGACAAAATTGCTATTAGGTATACAGCTGGAATTAAATATATAAAAAAAAAAACATGCATAAGCTATTATATTGTGATGTTTTGAAACAGATTGTTAAAAATAATAAAACAAACACAAATGGAAACTGTGATGAGAAAAGACTCTGAAAAGGACAACGATGATTTTAATCACTGTCAGATTGGATATCCTGAAAATTCACTAATTTTTAAAATATAAGGATGTTTTTTAAATATTTCATTTAAATATGGCACAATTTGAGGTAAACATTTAAATTTGATCCTTTTATCTTAACTAGTTTTCACCTGATAGCATGCATGTTGTTACTTGACTCTGTTGTTATTAGTATAAGATACCTTTTAGGAGTCTATGGTTTAGCTTACCGTAGCTTTCGCTGTCTTCTCGACAGTTTCATTCATTAGTTTTCACCTGGTTGACTTATTGCAGTTATGTAAGGCGGAGTTAAGAGATCACATGCAGAAGAAAGGCGAAAATTGGGAGCAGTGTAGTCAACATATGGAGAAATTCATAAAAATGCAAATGAAGGTAAGTTTACATTTTATAATATTAATGAACAGCGATGCACAGTATAGAAAAAAAAAAACAACCATGGCTTCTTCTGAAGGTTGGTACAAAAGAAGACACATCATTGATGTACAGTGATGTTTATTGAGACACTAGTTAACTAAAAATGCTTAGAAGTGTTCCCCATGTTCACTTTTCAAAATCAAAGGTTTGCCAGCTCCTAAAGATACTAACATCACCAAACCTGAGATTTCTTATATCTACATTTATGAGGGGCTTTTCAGATTTCTATAGAGACAGTATATTATATTACGGATAACATAATTATTTTCCTTTTCTATAGGGTGATGGTGTAGAAAAGCGGCAGTTGTACTTGCGGCCCTCTCGTAGGTTGGCTGCAGCCTATGGATCTGCATACATCACCGCATTTTTAACTGAGCGTATTGGATACCTTGCACTGCAGATCTACCTACAGCTCACTTCACGAAGTATTGACAGAAGGTTCAAAGGATCGAAAAAAGCTCTCTTGTCTCTTCGTGAAGTGCTTGCTCAAGACCAGAAAGTAACACTTAAAAGTTCATAAAATATTTTTTGATTAATGAAAACAATTATATATATATATATATATATATATATATATACTGAACGCGAAATTGGCTTGATTTTGGGTGATAGGATTATACCCTGGGATTCCCTAGTGCATGAGCAGAATGAAAATGATGATCGTTTTGCCGATGTGGCAGAAGCATTAAAACAACTGCCCTAAGATTCAATGGCCATACAAAACTATATTCTGCTGAAGAAATCAGAGTTTATTTGAACATCAAAGGGAAGGGAACACCCTAATTAGTAGGCCTAAGCGCCTACCTAGAAAGACCATATCTTGGTCTTACCTCGAGCTAGGCCAGCCTTTGCCTAAACTTTCTTCACGTCGTAGGTTATTTTTTTGCCCATCAACAACCAATCCAACCAATCACCCATTGCATGTGAAGATGCACAGCTCACTTGTAATGCATGATGTTACAAGTTATTTTTAGCAACGAGAGTCTCTGAGTCTTCATGCTGGGAACTAACAATCCGATCAGCCCACTGTGTTGCCTATTTTTAGCCGCAGTTAGCGATCTTGTTTATTTTAGCGACAGTAAACAACAAGAATTTACAAGAATGGGCTCTGTGTTCAACTTTACGGCGACCAATTTCTGGTCTAATCATTTGGAAGAGTTTCAAGTCTGCCGAATTCGGAGCCAAATCCTAGACCTAGGCCTACTCACCTAAATTATACCTTGGGACTTTGCCCATGGAAATGCTTGTACGCGGAGTTGGGCGTAAAGTCAGAGGTGGGATTATACCCGAGGTGGGACTATCCCCAAGGAACTACGGTATATATAATTTCATATAATTTTTATATATTGAATTTCAATCATCTTATTTTAATGATTGGTCATATCAGAAATGAAAGAATTTTCTATATAATATATTTTTAATACTGAATACATTCCAATTTTATAAATACAGACAACTGCAATTTTAAGTACTTATTTTATAAATTTTATGCTGTATATTTGTTATATGAAACTTTAAAAAATAATACTATATGATATATGTATGCTAATAGAGAGGTTTCGCACGCGAACAAATACGTGTACTCATACGTTTAGCTATTCATAACGGTTCGTAGCCATTCTGTGATTTTCGCAATCACAGCATAGCCTAGGGCTTACTATACTCTGTTCTCTTCTCTCGTTATGCTTTTTTTTTTAGTATATGTAAGGTTTTGGAAATTCAAATTGAAAATTGTAGCCGAAAAATACTACCTTGTTGCCCAGAAATGTCTGTTATTTCCTGACACCACCAAGGTCAAAGCACCGACGTTTTGAAACCCCAAAATGAGGCGCATCCTATCGTAATGTGCTGTCTTCAAATGTCACAAAAATGGCACGTACAGTACGTATTCAAAGATACATTTTTTTTTTTACACTTAATGTAAAATGTGAAAAAATAAACGAAGATCCTACTAGAAATCCAAAATTTTCCTACTCGTTTTTCACTTACCTGTAGTGAGTGAGATATGCGTGTCGTCCACACGTTTAGCGGATAGCAGCCAGCGTATGACGTCAAAATGATGACGTATCCGTCACACTAACTGTATGCGTTAGCGAGCGAAACCTTCCTAATGTTAAATTTCTAACACATGTAAACATAACAGAGGATGTAGTTTTGTGGTTGAGTCATCCACCTTTCTATCTCAAGTCATTACTGTAGTTGAAATCCAGTGAATGCTCTGTTCAGATGGGTCTTTCAATGCAATTTATTTCCCAAACACCAACTTATAGGCCTATATAATATGAGGCTTGCCATCCCAAAACCAGAGCTGGTCATGCTGTCATTAAATGTTAACTGAGTAATTAGCATAACTTTTACTGATAACTTTAGCAATAGTAGTTCAGTAAAAGTTAATTACAGAAAGATGACCTATCATTTTCTAGCTTAAAGTGTAGAAAATATGAATATATTAATAGGTCAATTTTCTTGTCACTGATGCTGGATTTGGCATGGCAAGCCCCAAGTGACGCTATTTTGTGGTTTTTCCTAGTTAAGGAAATGATGTTTTCATATCATGTCCATACATGAGCAAATTGCAGGTATTTGTCACATGAAATTTTATAATGTGAACAGCCATTAATTTACAAAAAAAAAACAAAAAAAAAAAAACAATTACTTAGACTAATATAATTAAAGCGTTATGTTTTCATTATCTTTAGGCAGATATGGACGATTAAACCCACCTGGGAAAACTTTATTTAGTGCTGTAACATGAAATCAAATATTTTGCCCTGCTACCACCTGCCTTGGCTTTTGAACAGTAGTCATGGCTATTTTGGGCACATTACAAAAATCTGATGGTGTAAATTTGTATCATCATATAGATCTTTAAGCTGTCTGAAAAAATGTTTCACATTTTCTTCATTAAAATTTTTGGCTCTAGCCAAAATTGTTACCTCCGTTTTCCTGAGTGACAGCCTTGGGTGTCTTTTTAAAAATAATGTGAACCAATCTGGCCCAGCCATACTTGTGGGGCTCCAGGATTGTGGTGCATTTATGTTGAAGCACAGAGGTACACTGGAACGCTAGACGACTTACTTCCTTTGGACAAAGTGCAAAATAAATTTCTGGTGCTCTGCAAATGTACTTTTCTGGTTCTTGTGTAGTATTAAAAACGCATCAAGGGCCTGTATAGATAAATTTGGAGCCATAAAATTTAATCCAATTCATAGCTTGTGGGTGTCGGACTTTTTAACGAACATGACACAGAGAGTTAAACTAAACAACACTGTTTCAGAACCCCTTACATGTAACACAGGTGCACCATAGGGCAGTGCACTTATACCATTGTTATTTTCACTTTATTCTAATGATTTCGTTTCTCCTGTTAATGATCCGTCCAAGTGTTTTCATATTAAATACGCAGACTTATCTCGGATTAATTTCGGATTAATATAAATAGGCCTATAAGCTTTTCGTAGAAAAGTTCGCTTTGTGGTGCGAAAACAATTACTTGATATATAATGTTGATAAAACAAAAGAAATTATCATTGATTTTAGGAAATCTGATATTATACATGAGCAGTTAGAAATCATAGGAAAATCAGTTGAATTTGTAACAGAACACAAATGTCTTGGTAACTATACGCAGAATGAAATACTTTAATGTAAACCTTAACATTATGAATATATTTTCTGTTTCTTTTATTCAACCTGTTCTATGTTTTTGCATAATATGGTGTAATGAAATATCGAAAGAAAATATGAAAAAATTGAAAGAATAACGAAGAAATCGAGTAAAATCATTGGGTGTGAGCAGCTGAGCATCCTGGATAGGCCTACGTACCCTGCGAAAGTTAAAAACAATCCATAGTGATATCACAGTTGATGTGTTGATTATACATTTTCAATACTGCAGATTAACACAAAAATCGGTCTATATGTTTTTCCTAGTTGAAATATTATGTGTATTAGACTATTACATTATATACAATTTCAGTCATGTAACTTCACTCTTCACTATTATTTTCCATAGAAAAGTTGATGCCTGTTAAGGCTTTGTTTAATGAGTTGTTTTATCTAAACAGTGAGCTAATTCAGATATTTATTATAAAATCTCATTAGTGGAGACTCCATGCAACAAAGACAGGCAAAGCTGCTATTACTCGGAAATTTAGAAACAACAGACAAAAAAAGAATTATTGGGAAAATGGATAAGCAGAGTTTGATATAGAAAAGATGAAAACATGAAATTAATCCCACAAATCATTAACGACACAAGCAAGAATATGATGATTAACGAAATTTGTTTCATTTTTATTTCAAACGTCAACAATGAAATGGCACGTAAAGTTGATCAATACACGAAACATCCTACAATAAAATACAACTCGCGCTTACCATCACAGACTAAATAGTAAAATGTTAAAGGCTACATTTACATATATTACTATAACATTCATTTTATGTCAAGCGTTGACAAAGACGTAACAGGAATAGCCAAAATATTCGCGCAATAAATTTTAGTGTTTCTAAAGTCAAAAAATTACGTATTTGAGTTTCAATACTGTTACGCTACTTAAAAACACACGTGGATACGTCTTCTTTACGCACACACACACACACACACACATATATATATAGGCTATAATATATATATACTATATATAAACGTTGTTTACATTATTAAAATGTAGAAGGAAAATTTAATTAACTAGTTGATTAATAGATTATTTTATAATAGAATTTTTATTTAGTATGGTCAATGAGGTGTGATGTTGTTCTATTATATCGGCATTATTTTATTCCTAACTTTCTTTGATTAATTATTTGAAAATTCAAACAAAAAGGTTAAATCACACGAACAAAAATAAGAGAAGAATGGAACCGTTTGACCTACACTCACGTTTTATTGTGAGGTGTGGTCACTGAGATTTGATATCGTTGTTAATCAAGACCAAGTCATATCATTTTATAAACGAAAAGATTACAAACCACACGAACACAAATAACGGTAAGACCGTCTAGCCACATTGGTGTTTTATTGTGAGGTGTGGTCACTGAGTTGTAATAATATTTCTATAATTTCACAAGTGTGTGCAGATACGCAGAATTACAATAACCCATACATCATTGAATTAACTACTAGGTAGACTGGGCTCCAGTCCCTAATCTGTCTTTAAATCTATTTTGGCAACAATGGCGTTCCATATTACCTATTTGCTTGGCATTTCATAGTATACTTTTTCCATAGAGCTATTAAACAACTAGAGTGCTGACAAGATGGCGGAGCAATGCAGAGTTGTGTATGTGTACCATCCAAGATGGCTGCCGTAAGAAAGCGCCACCTTCAGGCTGAGTATACATATTATTACCATAAATAAGCTCTCTGACTGAATATTATTTCATTAATGATAATTAGTATTGATAATGACAAATTATTAAACTGTCGTAGCCAAAAAGAGGCCAAGTAGAGCATCTTATTCAAATATTAAAAAGAATTAAAATCGTGTACATTACACCCATACACCGCAACGCTCGAGTTTCAAAATACGGGTAACTAGCTGTACTGAACTTTCTGTGTAAATTGAGGGCGCAATTGAAAATGATAGTGCTCAGGGGAAATTTGATTGGCTGTATCTATGGCAGCCATCTTGGATGGTACACACACACAGCTCTGCGTATTTCTAACGTCGAATACATTGCTGTTAGCGCTCTAGTATTCTTATTATATCTCTATGACTTTTTCTTGGATTATTTTTCAAATTCGCATAAAAGTTTCTCGACGCAGGGTTCCCCGGAACGCCGCCCTCATCGGCGAGTGCGAAGCACAACTCAGGGTCAAAAGTGGAACGTGAAATTTGGATATGGTTTTGTAGTCAGATTTGCGAGAAAAACTTCAGCTACCCGTGTTTCTCGACTGAGACGTCAGTGGGAGCTGTAATTTGTATGGCAAGGAGATTGAGCAACCCTTCATTCATATTAAGGGAATTTACGCCCAGAAACTTTGTAGTTATTAATATTTTGGTTATAATAGAAAATATTCATTTTTTGGTGACGTCACACTCACCTTAGTTAGCATGCATATGTCATAAGCTATATATATAGATACGTCACCTTTTCCTGGTAAGGCAAACTTTCCCAGCGTGCTTTTTTCATGGATAAACAAACACCACTGCTTTGCACATGGATGCCTTGCCCAAGCCAGGGCTACAAGAGCCGCATTGTTAGCATTGTATTCTACGTTATATGAGGCCTACAGTATATTGAAAAAATGTAAACTTCACAAATTCGGCCAAATATAATTTGGCCGTGACTTTTCAAATGTTACGGCCAGGCAAATTTTTATACGGCCAGATTTGAGGAATCTGGCCGTCAAAAAGGCCAAATGGCAACCCTGACCTATACTGCCTTACTGTATTATGTTTACTAATAAAGTGTCCACATGGGATTCGGTAGACTTGCCACAAGTCTCTAATTTATGGATTTTTCGTAGTACATTAGCGCATTTCGGAAAGCGCCACCAGCGTCAGTTTATGTTGAGAAACTTTTTTGATGAGAATTAGAAAATCCCAGAAAAATTATACTATGGAACGCCATGCAAATAAGTAATATGGAACGCCATTTGTGCCAAAATCGATTTATTCTTAAGCATTTCAACTGATTAAGACAAAGATTAGGGACTGGAACCCAGTCTAGGGATTCGGTTACTGTATCAGGAAATGTGTGGTGTATTTTTTTTATGACTTTTGTACGTAATAAGGTACTTAAGATGACACATGACCCATCATGCACATAGCCGTCGGAAGCATTTTGCAAGTGGTCCGGCCATTATAATGAGAGGGGGGGGGTGGTGGAACTAAACAAATTTTGTTGTAAAAGGGTCTCTGATCCACTCATCATGGTTGTTGAAACAACTTTTTTGCAACTCACAATGCCCGGAAATAAATGCTGACAATTTGTAGAGCCGCTAGCCCCTCCCCTCAAAGAAATAAAATAAGCGCAGAGATAGAGTCTATGTTGGAAATATGGTACTGTACATCTGGATGCCTGGAAATACAAGCTGGCAAACCTGTATAGCCACCACCCCTCCCCATCCTGTCTATTGGCAGACAAAGATTTAAAGTAAGTGGGGACTAGAGATATACTCACCTTTGTCCCATATGTTTTGAGCCCGGAGGTGAGCTAATTTTGAAAATTATGGCACCCAAATATAACTAAGGTACTGTTATGAAAATATGTAGTACAATATATACTGTACATCGTACATTAACTAAATTTATTTATATTAAAATATTTGCTCCCTGCGTACATGTCTATATTCCATATTCTAAGTTCCGTGGCATGAATATATCCCCATAGCAGGCTTGAGGGTGTGTGAATAATGTTCATGAGGTACCGGTATAACTCTCCCATATATAATAGGCCTACTAATAGGAAGTTTTTTTTTTTTTTTTAAGAATATGACCTTACAGGGCATCATATTATTCTTACTGGTATGTGTCACAGAGTGATTATTATTATTATTATTATTATTATTATTATTATTATTATTATTATTATCATTATATGGAAAGACTGTATATCTAATAGAGTGATTATTATTATTATTATTATTATTATTATTATTATTAATATTATTATTACCATTATGTGGAAAGACTGTATATGTTGACCTAAAGGAGATGAAGCTCATACTTTTCATATACACTTTGTGTCTTACCTGGATATCTTGTATGCTAATTTTAATTATGCATATGCAAATTTCTTAAGCTAATTTTGGATGATTGTGAGGGGTGGACTGTGTAGAGGTCAGTTGAGGAAGATTGGCTGAGCGTGAGATAGCTCGAGGGAGGCCAATGATTTGAATGGCCAACAGATAGGCCTAAAGGATTGGAATTATCCTTGTTTTGCGAAGTATCCTGCAGTATGTGGCTAAGTGTGTAGCCTGGAATATGCTTGATATATACAAGAAAACTGTGGTGGAATTGAGTTTTATGAAAAATATTACAGGAAACCGTGGTGGAATTGAGACGCCCCAGTTTTATGGATAATACTGCCGAGAAAACTGTGGTGGAATTGAGACGCCCGAGTTTTACTGATACTGTGCTACAAGAAACTATTGTAGGAAATCTGGGGGAATTGAGCCGCCCAAGTTGATTTGTTGCTACGGTAGAACCGAGCAGACGTAACGTGCCGTGAGAACATTTAGTTTATAAACGGGAACATTTCTGTTCGATATTTGTATAATGATGATTCTGTGTTAATTTTATATTATACCTTTACTTTTCATTGTTAAAGTCAGAAGATTTGACGATTAAATAGATAATCTGGTGTGAATTGCAATAAGTTGTACTCAGTCATTTCATTGATTGAAAAACACAGAGCTTGTGACAGTATGGCTAAAAAAAAATTGAGATAATAAAGGCCTATGCCCTGTACATGATTCTAATGAGTGGGCACAGAAAAAAAAGCATCCAAGTTGAAAATGCTATCTGGACACAGAATGTGGTAGCATTGACCAAATTACAATTCGTAAGATTTTTTTAAGTCAATTGAGTCAAATTAAGGGAATTGAAGGTCTACTGCGAAAATGATATATTGTTCAAAATGTAATTAAGTTGCTTATTCCTCCGTGAATAAATAAAGTGCAGGAAACACAAATATGTACAAGGAATAACAATAACTGTAATTATATCTACACAACGTGCAGGGTATTGAAAAATATTAACAATATGCAATTAATTAATAGGCCTAGAACATGTTCTATGAATACACATTATACAGTATGCTATGAATTATCTATGGAAATACAGTAGGCCTCCTATGCCTATACAAATAACGTCGCGTTTCGACAAACTTACTGCTCGTAGGCCTACAATTGAATTTACACTTACCAAATTCAGTCTGAAGCATAATAAATTATTTATTACGCTATAGGTCAGTTGTACTATCACTTGAATTGTAAAAATGCTGTAATTAAATCCTGTGTTTTCTTCTGGTAGAACTTACGGTGATTACACTCAGACAAACCATATGTAGATACCTCCATGTACAGATCTAACAGGTGATATAGACAGAGAGCACTAACATTTAAGGGCTATTCAGCTTTTTTTTTGTAAAAGAGTGGGGAGGGGCACAATGTTGTTAAATGTGGCTAGTTTTACAGGGGTTCAGGGGTCATACTGTGGAAACCTTGTTTACCTGGATGCCCAGAAAAAATATGAAATAATAATGATGATGATGATGAAAGAAAAATAAAGGCCCCAGTAAGGGTGCAGGGAAAAAGCCCCGAGAAAAATCAGTAGTTTCGATTTGGTATAGACTAATTTGGGTTGCTATATTTAGTCTTATAAAATAGTAATACTTCCAGAGAGCAAAGCCATAGGCCTACGTGGCATGGACAAGCCAAACCAGTCACTCGTCGCAAATCCTGTATTGGATAATGGACAAAACATACTGAAATGTCAACATTTTTTGGAATCTATTTTATCGCACTAAACTAACCTCTATATAATTATCTATAAATCGTGCTATGCTGTTATTTTCCTCATTTTCTATGTTAAAACAACAATTTTGAACGATTTGGCAATGGTTTCTGCCTAAGAAATGCCTGAAATCGTAAGCTTTAAAAGCTGATTTCTCAAATATTGTTCTTAAAACTATCTGTATGGTTAAACTCATTTAAATGGGTTTTTTTTTACCATTTTATAGCTCTCATTATACTCTCTAACCCTTAATAACTAAAAATTAATTTTTGCGATGAGTGATTGGTTTGGCTTGTCTTTGCCACATATCTCTCTATTGAGCACGGGGACTAAAAAGCTGGGCAAAAATTGGATGGTTCTTGTTGTAGCGTATAGGCATGTTTGGTATTGATTTAATTTTAGTTATCGTTGCCTTGCATTGCATTGGAATTGTTGATTTTGTCGGGTCGCCAACCCGTTACAAATCTCGACATCCCCACCACCACTCGTCTGACACCACGACGAGGTCATCGGACTAAATTAATATTCAAATCCAATCAAAGACGTTATTAAGACGTTATTATGCTGTTGCCTAATATTGTAGTCTAATAGTATAATTTTGGGATGCCCGAAAATAGTAACTGGCAATTATAGAGTCAATACCACTCCCCATCAAGGGGCAGAAACAGCATGCATGATGTGAACAAATTATGAAATTATGGCATCTGTAATCAGGGCTAGCTTCATCCGCATAAGCCTTGTGTGGTGACTAACCCCAACATTTCATACATAGTTAATTGTAATTATATGTTTATACCTCTAAACATTGTCAAAATTACTAATTATTTTTGAGGGTGTAGACATTTCTGTTATTTGCCATTCTCTATTATTTGATATTTTTAACTGTAATATTTCTACCTTTAGTGTTATAGGCCTATGTATGTAATATTTAATATGTGAAACTGATTTTTTATGTAATTTTATGTACCATATTTTTAATCTTTAGACATTTATTTTTTATATCATTTTGTATATTTATGGCGACTGTTTTTTTTTTGTTTTTGTTTTTTTTGTTTTTGTTTTTGTTTTGTTTTGTTTTGTTTTTTTTTTTTTTGCACTGTTTAGGTCTTTAATAATAAAAAAAATAAGTAAGTAAATAAAAAATAAAATATGTAATAATATTGAAAAAAAGTGGTCTGGTCAAAGCCAGTGTGGCAGGTGCGGTTCCGACGTCCCTGATGCACCTCCGCCGGATTTACCGTTTCAGTCATCTTTAACTGCCAGACGACAGCGTAGTGCATTTACCCCCGAGGGGGCAAAGACACACAAACGTGTAAAGGCGTAGACACATTTTCCGCTGGGAGTTTTTTTTTTTGTATAAGGAAAGTGCCAAAACACGAACATTATCTGATTGTCATCTTCCTTGTATAAATGGTTGTTTTCATCTCTTGCCTCTGTAATACTATTATCATTTTACACAAGATTGGCAACACCTTTAGGCATTATTTTTTTTAATAGTTTTTGTTGTTTACTGAAAACGTACTAATACTTCTATAGACAGGTTGGGACTTTGACCTTTTCTTATGTATTTCTGTGTGTGTGTGTGTGCGGGGGGAGGGGGTGGGGGTAGGTGCACACAAGGTGTGTAAACACAAAATCTCAAAAACTGTAGGCCTACACATGATCTAACTGAATTCATTTAATAATAATAATAATTATGATAATAATAATAGGCCTAATGATGATGATGATGATGTATTTGTGTATAATGTCGTTAAAGTGTGTGTTTTGTGAACGCCGTTAGCATAAGCTGGAAACTTTTTATAGTAATCACAGCCGGGATGAGCGTAGCCGTATGATTGATGATTGTACATTTATGCCATTTATATTGTAATGATGGTTTTATTCTTGTGGTTGTTAGAAATGGGATACGGTGAATGGTTGGTTGTCGATCTGCAGGATATTTATCAAGTTGAAAAAGTCTCTGTTATAAACCGAATTACGTGTAAGTTTCTACTGGATATACTTTACATAATCTGGGTTTCCAGAATTATAAAAAAGAAAGGTGAAAGAGGCAAAACTCTGGCCATTTTGGATATTCTAAGCAGTTTTGATACGTTTTAGTATGTATGCCTGTCTGACGGTACAAACACGTGTTTTAAGGAGTGTAAATAGAAAATTATATTTTTTAAATGATTTTTTATAATTAGCTTGGGATCCTGCCGTTAGAAGAATAAAAGACGCAGAAGTCAACATTGTTACTGATATTGAAGATCGTAATGATGGTCAATCGTGCGGCTCTCCAGTGACTTTGGACCAGGTTTATAAAAGTCCCTTAATTGACTTTGCATGTACTCCTTCAGTCATTGGCCGCTATGTCATTTTGTGGATTAATAGGCTTGAATATTTACATGTGTGCGAAATCCGTGTGTATGGCAACACAACGGCACGTAAGTTAAATACTATGTTAATTTCGATAATCATATGAAATCTTCGACACAGCAGTTATAAACATGTAGACTTTGTTTATAGGTCTATATCTAATACCACCAACACAAACCAAATAATTGGCAAAACAAAATAAGTTTGTGGAGGTGTTTTTCTTTAAGATTACAGTGGAGGTTTGGAAGCTGTTGGTTTTTGGCCTTTGAATAGATATTACGGGTTTCACGATATATCTGGATTTAAACATGATGGGCACGCATCTTCTGAATGGCTATTGACAACTGGTGTAAAAAATACTATCGATCCGGCCATCGAATTTACATCTGCAATTCTTGTGATCCAAAATTATCAAAATTTTGTGAGTGGATCTGCGTTTTCCATCTGCTTTCATATCTATCCGTTTACGGATTCATATGGGTATATAGTCATATTCAGAGGGTTCACACAAACTTTTAGCATTTCGCATGCTCAACCAAGTGGTTTTACTCACAATTCGGAAGTTGTTGTTTGTTATGACGGTGCTGAAGTGATTCGATGTAATGCCAATGCCCGATGAATGGACTTTCTTTGCTGTAACTTTCAATGGATTTCTAAGGCAAATGACAGTCTGGAGGAACAGTGAGATAGTCCATACCGTGAACACGTCATTCTCTACGATTGACATGAATGTCACAGACATTAAGTTTGCAGAGGATCCTACAGTACATATGAAGCTGAGTAGGATTCAGATTTACAACAGAGTTTTGACTGAGGCTGAGATGAAAACAGCTGAAGAACGGGGTAAGTCACCTAATCCACATTCCGATCACTATCAGATTGAAAATTGAACAGTGTTGATTTATTGTTCCCATCATTTAGTTTTTAGTTTTTAAAGCAGGCTCAACATAGAGAGAATATTTAATTCACTACTACAGTATAAAGGAGGAACGCAGCACTGACACATTTTGCTTTTTAAGTTTTTTCTTCCTTCCAATTCCATGTAAATAAACTCGTATAATTAAATATTGCATCCGATAATGTTTTTTTTAATCAAAATTGTAAAACAGATTAATATTTAATATGAATGCATAGGACTGATCACAAAATCACAATGGCCTACATCTCTTATGGTAAATTTGGGTTTTTTTTTTGGCATTTTGATTAAACTTATCTATCTATCTATCTATCCATCGTTTCCAAAAATAATGTATCGATTTTGTGTTTTCACAGGACCGGTGGTCCACCAACGAATCAACCGCTTGATCTCTTCAAAAGAAAAAGAACTAAGTGGTGTAATATTGATTAGCTTCAACGTAGAATCAGTAACACGCTGTGCTGCGTTTTGCAACCACGATCTGGAATGCACAGGTTTCGTCTACAACAACGATCTCTGTTGTCTGTCCAACAAAATTGAACTGCAGTCACTACCGACACACATTATCCTGATTCTGTTCAGTATGAAATATTATACGAGTGTTTAGAAAAAAAATTGTGTTAGATAAACAAAAAAAAAAAAAAACAACAATAAATGTTATGTCACTAAGAAAATCTTCAAAAGTTATCTGTGAAGATAAATATTGTTTTTAGTTTGGTAAATTCGATATTGAAATAACAAAGTTGTGAAAGTAACCAAAACGATGATAATAATGGGCAACAGTGGACTTTACAAGTTGAATTTATATCATTACATATACAGCGGGAGGTTCAGTAGACAATGGAATCGGGGAGCGATTTTTTTTTCCGTACGAAACATTTACATGAAACTCCACTCGGGCCGTCTCGGCTGAATCGACCCGAAAATCTCATTGCAGAATTCAGGAGGTCAAAAGGTCATCAACAGATAAACGTCTACAACTCTCTTTCAGAATTGATTCATTAAATTTTAATTATCACCCAAATTTATTATAAATGAAAGAGATGTGTGTATACAGACAGGCAATCGAGTATTATTGTCACCGCGGAACACTATACACAGTTCATGAGCGAAATCGCTGTAGCGTGTCCTGAATATTCAAACGCTTCAAGTTGATTAATATTCATGAGCCAATTTGCTGTAGTGTGACGTGATCATTGAAAGGAGTCAAATATGACCGGGAATTAAGTCACAACCATACACAACTCTGCATTGCTCCGCCATCTTGTCAGCACTCTAGTTGTTTAATAGCTGTATGCAACCAACTGACTGCAGACCATTTCCGGTCACACATTACTCTCCATAACACACCACCCCTTAGTTCCGTCACCTCTGGATATACCGTCGCTGGTGGCGCTCTCCAAAATACTAGGAAACCTATAATTAGAGACTTGTGGCAAGTCTAACTACTAGGCTGTTATAAACCAAAATGAAACGTTGTCTCAATTTCCATAAAAAACATGAGAAAAGAAGCTGAACAATGTCATTCATGGGCTCAAAAAGATTATAAAATATAATATATACTTCTAAAATGGGATTAACATTATTTTTAGGGATATGATAAGGCATACAATAAAATATGTAATTTAGACCAATCAATAAATTCCAATGACTATAAACGCACATAGACCTAGTAAAGACTGTGGTGAATTTTAGTTCTACTCCACTGTCTTAAAGTTAAATTTTCCTCATTTGCATGCAGTGCCGGTATGTTATTCATAGAAACTAAGCAAAGAAATTAGCTCCTTTGTTAAATATTGAAAAATATCTTGATCCCACCTGACATTGCGAGAAATATAATATTACAACGTAAGTAAGGATTGGTAAGTGATTAATAATGTTTCCTGCCTCAAGATGGAAAGAAATGGAAAAAAAAATAGCGGTAGATTGACGGTGATGTCTAAACGACAGAGATTATTTGGGAACATGACAAAACGCATCATATTCTTTGTATGTAGGTTTCACTCCTGTATTTTCAACACCATATGGACTACACTCCGGATAAAATACACATGAATACACAACATACTTTTCTTTTAACCAAGATCTGTAGAGGGACTGATATCCAGCTTCATGTGCTACCAACATCTGGTTATATTTGGCGAGCGTTCCACCAATAGAAAGACACCGACTTGAGGCCTCAGAATATGTCAGCGTGTAAGTTTCACGTCCCCTTACGCTTATGATACCATGAGCGGGAAATGGATAATCATCTACAAAGTGATTCGCCAGAGAGCAGTAAGCTGATTTCTTATATTCTCCTTCATAATGATCAGAAATGCTAAATTTATATCCGGTTAAAACATTTCCCCAACAAATTTCTTGGTCTTTATGATATGGCGCTCCTTGCATACCATTGGAAAACCAAGCTGTTTCGCAGATCTGAACACCGGTTAAACTAGCATTGTAAACCTCCATCGGCAGAGCAAGGTGTCCTCCATAATTTCCCTGGCAAAGGCTTTCTGCTTCATTGTATGTATAACCTTCGCTGCCATCACGACTAAGGTGAAGGATTCTGCTGGCAGAATGATAGTCTCTTCCCTCGGAAATGAAAGAGGTGATATAACAGTAAAAACATGGATATAAGGTAGTACGGTCGGGATAAACGTTGCAACGAATGGCTGGATCTACCAGTTGACATGGTGTTTCATCATTTGTGAAAGTCACCTCACCACTAATTAACCAACATTGATCACAGGTCACGTCCTTTCCGAAGTGGTTGACAGCAGACATCAGTTGTTCGTAAGAGGCAAGATAACCTTTCAACTGATGACACCCTTCAGAAGCTTCTTCATAATCAGCGTTGCGCGACACCTTTATAAATACTCCTTCACGTTCCTATTAATAGTAATTATATCATAATAAATATTCATATAGTACTGAATAAAATAAACAAGGTAAATGATAGAAATAGGGCTCAAATTTAGGAACAAATGATATTAAAAACCTATCAAGTATGTACCTTAAACGAAAAATTTTCTTAAAAGAAAAGTTAAATAGAGTAGGTTTATATCAGCATTCCCTCCTAAATCTGATCACAGTTTCTGCCTTTTAACTATTTTGTTTATATGTTCAGTGCTATATACAGTATACTGTGATGAGGCTTTGTGCCCTCTTTGTTGAAGATGCGTGGGTTTTAAATAAAGACGGATTGAAGAAAACATCATTGGATTTTAGCCTACTACTTTATTTACAAACTTCATACCACCACTGGACGAACGT